ACTGCTTGGGGACTCGAGGGTAGGCAGGCTTGGTGCGGGTGGCCTTCAAGTCCAACACACACGTCGCCAAGAGGACGGCTTCATCGACGGTTCCAGGTTGTGGCCTTGCAGAAGCAGAGAGCCAGGCCTGCAGGGTGGGCTGGAAGGACCACCCTTGGGTGGCCCCACCCAGGGATGCCTGAGGTAGGTATTACCCCCTTCATTTGCAGACAGGAGGCTGGAGTCCCAGAAGCACTTTGCTCAGATCAGGAGCTGGAAACAGGATTTCAAACCAGTTCATTCTGCTTTGAGCTCCTGCTGAGATTAGCATCTCCATTGCGGACAGACCGAATCAGAATGTGCCCGTTGTGTTCTAGTAAGATCGACAGAAGACCCTCCTGGGCCCCAGGGACCTCCTTTCAACCGAACAATCAACAGTGGGCCTGTAAGGGAGTGGGCCGCCTCAGCTCTCTCCCTGTGGGTTTGAACCACCAGGCCTGTGGTTGGCAGCCCAACGCTCACCCCACAGTGCTACCAGGGCTCCTCCAACAACAGGCAGGGCTGAGAAATGGGTGCTCTCACCTCAGGGAGTTACCTGTTCCTCAGAACTGTCCATCAGCGAAGATCAGAGGACAGTGCTTATCTCAAAGCAGAGATCAGAAGGCAGGAAGAGGTCGAAAATGCTGCAAAAGGAAATGGGAATCCAGGTGTGTGCATGTGTGTGTGTGCATGGGTGCATGGGTGTGTGTGTGGGGGGAGGGAATACAGCCAGTGTCAAGGCACGGAATGCTACATGAGGATTAAACCATGGGATTATGGGATGCAAAATGGATTTGCTCTGAAAACCTTAACCTAAAGCACAATTAAAAAACACAAACTTATTTTATTAAAAGAAAATTCAGTATATCTGTGATGGAAACACACTTTCTCAGCATGGAGTCGAACCCCTGCCCCAGTGGCTTCTGGTTCTGAGCCCGGACACATCTGGCCCAAAGCCCTTTCCCCTTCTAGTGCCTTCTCCCTCTTCAAGGAGCCTCCCTGCAAGGAGCCAGCTCCCACCCCAGGCTTTCTTATGTCCTGGGAGTGGGGAAGCAGCCCTGCGGACTCCGTGGGCTACACCTGGGGCCAGTAGTTTGAAACCACTAGCTGCTCCGAGGGAGAAAGAGGAGGCTGTCTACTCCCATGAAGAGTTGCAGTTGGGGAAGCCCATGGGGCAGTTCTACCCTGTCCTGTAGGGTCACTGTGAGCAGTGAGTTGTTTTGGTTTTTAGCTCAGCAGGACCCGAGCAGCTCAAGGGCTAATGCGGGGTGTTCCCTCCATTTTGGGAGATGAGGATAGTGGGGGAGGCCTGAGGTACAGAGGGAATATGAGGTGCTCAGAGCTCTGGGCTAGGGGTGGGGTGGGGAGGAAGGGCTGGGGTGGAGAGGATGGGGGTGGGAGGTTCAGAGGCTGGGCCATTTCCTGCAGAGCTGAGAAGCTTCTAGCACTGAGGTCCCTTGGAGAGCTAGGGCGCTTCAGCTGCACAGGTTCAGAGCTCTGAGCTAGTGGCAGGCTGTCAGATGAGCATTGCACTGCTAACCGCAAGGTCAGCTGTTCAAACACACCAGCTGCTCCTCAGGAGAAATAGGAAGCTTTCCAGTCCTATATTTACAGCCATAGGAACCCCCTATAGTAGCGGTTCTCAACCTGTGGGTCGCGCCCCTTTGGGGGTCGAACGACTCTTTCACAAGGGTCGCCCAATTCATAACAGCAGCAAAATGACAGTGATGAAGTAGCAACGAAATAATTTTATGGTTGGGGGGTCCCCACCACATGAGGAACTGGATTAAAGGGTTGGGGCATTAGGAAGGTTGAGAACCACTGTTCTATAGGGTGGCTGGTCAGAAGGGTCTGGGAATGGGTGTCTGGCTACCAGTGGGCATAGCAGGAGGAAAGGAGGAGGCAGGAGCAGCCCCCCTGTTCCCCACTCCCCTCTGCGCAGCCTTTGAACAACAGTTTTGCAAGGGGCCCTGATGTGTCGGTCAGGGCCTGGGGGGAGGTGGAGGAGACCCAGGTCAGGAGGGAGAGCTGGCCCTGCCCCTGCAGGTGGGCGTAGGGAATCTGAAAGGCTTACCCTAAAGGTCCTCCTGGCTGGCACCTGGTGGCCTTGCCTGGCTCTCTGTGGGGACTGGTTGGGGGCACATCCTAACCAGGAAATGCCTATGGGGACATGGGTGGGGGTGAGGGGCAGATGTGGACCCCCAAAAGAACGAAAGGCTGAAAAACTATTGGGCCTCTTGGTTCCTGAGCTGGATGTCCTGGGGCCAGGCTCGACCTGGCTGGGGAGCAGATTCATCCAAGCCCGACGCACCTCTTCTGCTGCAGAACACACCTTCTTCCCCATGCCCACTGCCCTCCTTCCCCGCCCATCAGAGGCAACGCAGGAAGAGGCCCAATGAAAACCTGCCTTAGAGCCAATGCTGACTCACAGCAACCCAATAGCACAGGGTAGAACTACGTCCCTGAGTGTCTGAGATGGGAGCTTTTTAGGGAGAGTAGAAAGCCTCATCTTTCTTACTCAGAGCAGCTCGTGGTTTCAAACTGCGGACCTTGCAGTTAGCAGATGAATGTGTATCCCACTACGCCACCAGGGCTCCTTCAGAAGACCCCCAGTAGGAGCCCACAGGAACTAAGGAATGGTGGTGGGGGTGCTGTAGTTACAGGATCTATTGTCAATTTGAGAGGATTTAGAATGAAGGGGTGGAGTTAGCCTGTCATTCAGGTCGTAGCTTGATGACCTCATTTGGAGGCACTAAGCAGATAAATAGCTCACTGGAGGCGGGACACACGCTCACTCCCTGAGAGGCTCTCTACTGACAAGACACATGGGGCTATGCTGATGGCAGTGAGAGCCCTGGATCTGCAGGAGCCACGTAAAGACCCACGCCAGCACTGAGATGCTGCCACTGTCACTGGATCCACAAGGCTTTCCACCCACAGGCCTGTGATCTTCCTGCATTTGGTGTCATTGCATGTGTTGCGTGAGTCTGAAGAGGAATTTATAGACTGGTACCGGACATATGGGACAATATTGGGCTATGGACTGGATCTTGGACTGGGCTGGGATAAAGCTCTTTCTCATCCACATATGAGTGTCTATGAATTTGTTTCTCCCTAGCCTACCCGGACTAACACGTGTGTCTACTAGTTGAAACAGCCCTGCCCAG